CACACACACACACACACACACACACACACACACACACAGTGTCACACACACTTGTGGACATGCTGATCTCATTCGGAATCAGCGTCACAGCCCTCATCCTCAGATCATGGCTGTTCGCTGCAGTCAGCTGATTCCGGGTCATCCTCCATGACCGTCTTGCGCTTGAGGCGCTGTTTCTTTTTTTTAACCGGTGGACTGGCCGTGTCAGTCTTCTGCTTTCGCGGTCTGCCACGAGGAAGTTTTGGCTGTGCAGGAGCGTCCTATGATGGCTCCTTTCTCTTCCTGCCCACTCGGCTCACCCACAGGTTGTCATGCTGGACATCCTCCCTCCTTGCGGGGAATTCCGGTATCTTCGCCTCGGACTCCGGAAACTCCGCTGGCCGGGGCCTGCGTGTGTAGACTGCTGTCGTTGTGGGACGGGGCTCGTCTTCGCGGGCTGTATCGACCTCGCCGTGCTGCATCTTCTGCTGCACCAATCCTTCCCCCTCCTCTTCCTGCTGCATTTCCTCTTCCTCCCCGCGTTGCACCGTGCCTTCCTCTTCTTCTTGGTGCTCCATCTCTCCTCCTCTTCTCCTTCTTCAACAACCTCCAATGCCTGATTGATCTGCTGTTGGTGCTCCCTGGCTTGTTTGAGACCCCTCTCGATCTCTCTCCGGGTTGGGATGGTTGCACGGCGGGCCTCCTCCTCCATCATACGTTTGTTGACGAGTTCGGTCTCCCGGTCAGCCATAGCCTTGGCACGGTTCGCATCCTCCTCATCTTCGTCCACCCTCGTTTCCAGCAACGTCTCGACATCTGTGTCTAGCCGTGTGAACTCGACATCAGATTGCGGATTGTACAGTGCAGTTTCCATTACCCCGGGCTCCATTGCCGCCGACCGTGGCTCTTCCCTGCGTTGTCGTCCGGTCTGTCTTCTTCCGACGTACATCGTGCCTGGGACGGACGGCTCCGATCGTAGCTCGAAATCGGAGTCATCGTCGTCGTCCTCTTTGCTACCACTTGAGTCCTCCGAGAATCCGCACTTCCCCTTCCACAGCTCGTCATCCAAATCACTGTCATCCGTGAGCTCTTCGTCCTTGTCCTCGAGATTTCTTGGAACCCTTCCCTTCGGAGTCTTTGTGAGCCTCCGTTCCCTTACAAACTCCTCCTCTGTCTTCTCAGCCTCATCCTCGGGCCCCTTCGACACCGATCCATCGTTCTCTTCAGGCTCCGGGGCGGGCTCGACGAAGTCACACCACAAGTCCACAAATCCGTTGTTCTTGGTTTCCGGAACACGCAGTAGCTGCATGTTCCAGTGTATGTACACCAGCTTCGCCAAACTTTCTGGCAACAACTTGTTCCTTCGTTTGGAATGGATGAAGTCCATGGAAGCCCAGTTGCTCTCCGTTGGCGATGCGGTGCTCCACATGCCCATAACCTTGATCGCAATCTTCTGCAATTTCGGCACGTCGCCACCATGTGCTGCCCACCATTCTGATAGTGTCTGCTTGTCAACATCTGCCTTCGCTGTGGGGTCCCACATCTTCGTGGCATTCCTTTTTGGGTCGTTCCTTGTAGGTTTGGTGTGGAACTCATTCAGGTCACTCCAAATGTCAAGGTGCTCTTGCCCTTTCCATTCACCTCGAACCTGCCTCGAGAGAAAGCGCATGGCATTTTCCACAAACGCACTATCTTGGTCATGCAACCACCTTGGATCTCTCCTGTGCGGGTCCAAAAGAAAGGTCGTTGCGTGAACGGGCTGCCGCATCATCTTCATGCAATCTTTGACTTTCTCCATCACGCTCGCCCGCTGCTCCACCGTGAGAATGATATGGCTAAGTTTCCTCTCTATCATGTTGTCGTACTCGACAAGGTTTGTGGGAGCGGTACCGTCCTGATCCATCCGCCTCAAGAGGCCGAACACGGGCTCCATCACCTCAACCACCTTGTTCAACCCCGTCCACCACTCATCACTCCTCAGTGTGAAGTACACCAGATCCGATCTGGCCCTCAACTTAGACGTGGACCATCGGATCGCATTCCACTTTGCTGCATTACGACCGTGGACTATGTCCTTCAATACCGCTCGCCTGTCGTATATCCTCTCCAACATTTGGTAGACTAACCCGAAGCGCACCTCCGTGGGCCGCAAAAGAGACAACGAATCGTTCACTGTCATCATCTGACTGTTTGTGCTGTGGTGATTTCTGATGAACTTGACGAGTGTGTGGCCCCTCTTAACGGTGTGCTTCACCCAATCGAGTTTGCTGAGGTCGCGCAAGAGAAGGCTGCAGCAATGCGCAGCGCAAGGAACCCACGGAATCCTTGCTACCTCCTTGTCCGTTCGTCGCTCCAAGATCTGAGCCGCCCTTTTGTTGACCTCCGCGTTGTCAGTGCAGATCGCATTGATTCGACGCAATCCGATTTCCCTCATGATCTTCTCCCAAAGTTTCGCCAATGCAGGTCCAGTCTTCTTCCTCCCGGACATTGACACCGTCGCCACCAAAACCGCCCCATCCACCCCAGCTGCCAAGAAGTTCATCACGGGCCGCTCCCGACGATCACTCGATCCGTCTGTGATGAACGTACACCCGCTCACATCCCAACAAGTCGTCAAGGGCTCCACCGTCTGCAATCGCACGTACACAATGTCCAACATGACGGTCCTCATGTGGTTGAAGGAGGGCAGTTTCACCTACGGTCTTGACTTTGCCACCTGCAGGTACACTTCGTGGAGTTTCTGGGTGGTTTCGAAGTCCAAGAAGTTGAACGGTATCCCAGCACGAAACATGGCCTCCGCCCATGCGATGTCCAGTTTCTTCTGCGCATCGTTGTCCACCCACCTCCTTATTGTTGACTGTTGCAACGAGGACAGTCGTGTGTTCGACCCCGACGCCTCACCCCCCGCCGCATCCAAAGCATTCTCCTCGTGCAAATCCCCTGCATCACATGGAGGAGCAGCCCTGCCCGCAGTGGGCGGTGGCTGTGGCTCAAGGTATGCGGGAACTTCAACCACCTCGTCGGCCTTCTCCGTCTGATCGACCCCCCCTTCCGGAATCCCGTGCAACTGCCTGTAATTCTTCAACAAGTACCGCGTATTCTTATCACTCCGCAACACTTTCCCCCCGGCGTTGACGAACTCATTCACCATTTCCCCTGTGCGCGATGGACAAAGCTTCTGCGTCTTCAGGTAATGTTCCACTGCTCTTGAGCTCGTACCCCTCGAAATCTACATGCACAACCGACACCTCACCCAATACTCGCCTCTCCCTTTCGCCCCGGCTTCCTGACCCTGTTCTGCGTACTTCCACACAGGCTTCTCCCTCTGCAACTTGTCCTCCCTCACCTTGTCTTGTGGAGCGAACAGCGAAGGGTCCATTGCCGGCGTGGGGTCTTTGGAGGTCACTGTGGATGTGGGTGTAGCGGAGGTGCTTGCAACGTTTTCTTTTCCTTTTTCTGCTACCGTTTTGCGCATCCTCCGTCCAGAATCGCCACTCCCCCCTCCAATGTCGCTGGCACCGCCCACCATAGTGTCGTGGAAGTAGAGGATGCAAGGACAACCAGCGAAGGAAAAACCGAGTTCAAATATCGGAAGAAGAAGAAGAAGAAGAAAAAGAAGAAGAAGAAGAAGGAGAAAGGAGGAGGAGAAGGTGGCGAGAAAAAGAGGAAGGGAGGGGGAGGAGGAGGAGAGAAGAAGACGACGGGAGAGGAGATGATGACGAGAGCAGGAGAAGGTGGCGACAAAAAGAGGAAGGGAGGGGGAGGAGGAGGAGAAAGAAGACGACGAGAAGGTGACACTGCTTCTGCCACGTGGCACTTAACCTGCTGAAGAAAACCAATAAAATAGAGAGGAGGAGAAAGGAGGAGGAGGAGGAGGAGGAGAGAAGAAGAAGGGAGGGGGAGGAGGAGAGAGATGAGGAGGAGGAGAACGAGGAGGAGGAGGAGGAGGAGGAGGAGGAGGTCGACCTGCCGATTTCGAGCTGCGTTGACGGAAAAAAAACAAAAGAAAAAAAAAGATGACGAAGGACGAGGAAGAGGA